CGAATGCTGATAAACCGTCAATGGATAGAGGTTAGTCAGCTGTATTTATATCATGGTGTTGATTAACTTGAGTGCACTCCACCTGTGTTAATTAGGCTAAGTATCTGACACGCTCCTCCCGAACCTTGTTAATAAAACATCATTCAATGTTCTCTGCGATCTCATCAATTCTCCGTGTGACAGTGGTTGCTGAAAGAGGAATCTGGCCTATCTTGTTAGCTGCAGCTTCACCGAACATTTCACTGCAAAGGTCTTTAGTAGCTGGCAAAATCAGTTATTCCCCAATGGTGAAGGGCTTCTTAGCTTTAGCGTTACGGTCAGCCACCAAGTAGGATGATCTCAGTGCAGCTATATTTGTAGATGTGGTCGCTTTTAACAGTTGCTGTTGCCCCATTTGTTCACGTTTTTTCCGTTCAAAATAATCCAACGGTTTGTCTCTCAGTGCTGGGTGTTTAGTTTCAAGATGCCGTAGCAGTTTTGAGGGCTCCATTGACTCATTAGATCATTTTTCTCCACAAATTATACACAAGGATTTGGAGCATGTGAACTGCCAGTAGAGACAAAACCGTATTTTAGATAGCAATCATCATATTTTCGGTTAAAGGCGGCTTTCTTTTTCCACTTTTTTTCATTTTTCGTCTCTTCGTTGTCATTATAATTTTTTCTTTTCTTACCTCCTCCACTTAAGAACCTTTCAAGAGATGTTTGTTTCCCACTCATTTTAATATTAGCTGAACCTTAAAGTGTGGAACTGACGTTTTTCTGATATAGCGCCCCAATGTAAATTTGGATATTGGCTCTTAAAGGGGAAACGCACAATAAATAATTGAGTGTAATTTTGCTTTCTCGCGGCCCGGTAGCAACTCTTTCACGGCCCGGCACTGGGTCGCGACCTGGTGGTTGGGGACCTCTGCCCTAGGGACGTAGTGTCTCGTTCCCTCTCAGGTATGTCATGACGACATTAGGGCTCTAACTTAAGAGCCCAATCATCTCTGAATTTAAGAGAATACGACAATGAAAGTCGGCTAGTGGATTATGCACACTGAGCATACGTGCACCCCGTGCATACGGGTATATAAGGCTCTCACCCCCAGGGGGCACAGCTCGCGCTCCGTACCGAGAAACCAATTGTCCAGCCGCGAGCGCTCAGGGCTGGGCGGTGTATTCACCTCCAGCCTGATGCTCACTGCTGCCCGGGCAAGCATGGCCGTCAACTCTGGGTCCGATTCAGCAGTGGCGACAACACCCAAGGGGGGCAGCCCCGCTGAACCTTCATCCTCAGAGGTCAATACCCCATCCCCCGATGCTGCAATCGACATCTGATCCCCCGGCGGCACACCGAATGAAATGCTAGGACCGTGCAAAATCCACTAGCCAATTTTCATTGGCGTTTTCTCTTAAACTCAGAGATGATTGGGCTCCCAAGTTAGACCCCTAATGTCGTCACGACATAACTCCTAGTGACCGACAGATAGGGAACCATGGTTACATGCGTAACCCGAGACATTTTCCCAGTTAGGGAATTATTTTAAAAATGGAGGGAGTCATTAAGGCATAAAAAAATAGATTAAAGAGCAGGTCATATGGTATTTTAAAGTGTCCTAATATTGTGTTGGAGTCCCCTACAACATGTTTAAATGCATCTAAGGTCAGAAAACATTGTATTTTTCTCAGAATATACACTTAATATTAGAGTCATTTGCCAATGATTTCTAAACGATTTGTTCCAAGCAAGTTTGGAGCAAACCCCTCCCTCCCATAAGCCTACTCTTCTCTCACTGATCAACTGGCCAAGCCTGCTGTGATTGGCACAGAGAGGAGTCTTTGAGCAAGATAGCAAGCGCTACAATTGACAAAGCACCTTTGCATAAAACAATAATATAGTGCTACAATCCGTTCTTATAATAATGACATAAAATACAAAACACTTATGCAAACTAATCGTGCCCACAGCTAAAGTTTAGCTGCTAAACTGCGAACACTTAAAACAATAATGGTGGATACGTTAGCCGAGTGCTAACGTGACTAACTGATGAAACAATACAGTTTGTAAACCAAAATATGTCTACTGTAATGTTAATTTCTGTAATTTCACAATGATTTTAAAGTCTGTGCACTACACTACATTATTATTAAACAAAGTAATTAGAACAAAATCAGTCTACATTAATTGACACATTCTTAGAAAATAGTGGGTTCACAGCGAATTATCAGAACTACTTCAGTAAGACAGTAATTTCGTGCTTTACCTGGAAACGTAAAGCTGCACTAGGTGTACATCACATATTTGCACAGAAAACTTTATATTTTGAGCACTGAATTGGAAATATACGATAAAAGCCAAGATTAGAGAAGCAGGTAAAATGACATGCACACAACAAAAGGTTCAAATTGTATTTCTGTGGTATCCTTGAACACAGCGTCTTCTCAACATGATGTAAACACACTAACTAGCACAAGTGTTTGTTGGCAGGTCAGACTCTGTTTGTATTTTGGAGGCAGGCGGGGATTATGCAAATGTTTTACCCAGCAACGTATACTGGTAACAGGCAAAAGATTAGAAAATATGACGACTCATTAAGGCGATTCAGAATCGACTCTCTCTTTTGAGAGACAATATCTTTATTTATCATGCACTTTTTTGATTAACAACTTTGCAGATTGTTTTCATTTAAGGATAGCTACGTTATAAACTGCTAAATAGATATTTTTCAAAAACCCATATGACCTGCTCTTTAAGGATTAAGGGTCAACAAGCATAACTATAAGCTATGGAGGTTCATTTTCTGCTTTAGATTAAATAAAATGGTTATTATGACTTTACTCACAACCGCAACATTATTTGGCAAAATTGTGACTTTACATTTCATAGTATGACTTTATTTCTTATTTTAATCCTGTTGTAATTTTTGTACTTTTGGGCAGAAATGTGCTTCCATACAGGATCTTGCCTATATAAGCAAATTTAAATTCTCATCATCCTCCTAATATATTATCATATTATCAGCTCATAATTTAATTTGCAATAAATAAGTTAAATACTTTTAAAGTTATCTCGTGTTACACTCAGTAACTATGCTTTTTGGGGTTGTCCTCTGGTTGTTTTTATGTTTTCATGACAGTATTACCCCCCCCCCCAAAAAAAAATGTTCCTGTTGCTATTGTGCATTTAAAAAATACTCATTGACTTTTTACATACAGTTTGATGTCACGATATTGCCTGTTCTTAATAATTGTGTAATATGCCTAGTTTTTGAGGATGTTGTGCACTGTACAGTAATGTTACAATTATCACAGACCCCTGTTACAATTACACAGAATGTCAGTACTTTGTGTATTTCTATTTTAGTTGTGTTCAACTTAAGTTAAAAATGTACTTAAAAATGACATATCAAAGTTGTGAATTTCAAAGCTTTAGTAGAAAAATATTTTAAAGAAATTACCAAAGTATTACAATTATCCCTGCCTTCTCACAAAAAAAGTATTAACCAATGCAGACATTTCAGCATTTCAATGCAGTCAACAGTGCTGGGGGACATGTCCCTCATTTATAATAATTGCTATGCCCCTGGGTTTTTGCAATTGACTTGCATATTGATAGATAAACATTATCAGTGAGGACAAGGGACAAGGCTTGAATCCTCTCTCGTAGTTTCAGGTTATGCTTTCTTGACTTTCTCCCATCTGTCACATATTCCACTCCAGTACCCAAATGAAATGCACTTTCAATTGTCGCTCCTTTTTACCAGGAGAAACAGACACCTCCACCAGCTCCAGCGACCCCTTGACAGTTCCACCTCAGTTAGAGTGGAGGTTTGCGCATCACCCACCTTAGAGGGAAAAAAAGCGTCTCAAATTTGCTCGGTAGCAGATGTCTGGGAAAGTCAGCTGAGACCCCTACTTAAAAAGTGTTTCAGGTCATTTGACAGGAATGCTTCCTTGAGGCTGTCAGTAATGACTCCTCTTACCTTTTTATACCTTCACTAGCTCCACTCTCAGCCATGGTAATATTTGCTTTTTCAAGGGTCCCATGAAAAATAGAAAGTGAGAAATGAGATGGGTTCAGCTCGGGAAAAGGCCTAAAAGTATGTCTAATCGAGATTTACTGGAGTGCTTATGTCACTGAAACTGCTACAATTGATTGGATGTAGGAAGTTAAAGGACTTGACTTTGGATGAACACCTTATGGGATGGGATATTTTGTTCAATAAAATGACAATTGTGGTCTTTTTGGATCTACAGTTTGAGAGTTCTAGATGGTATAAGAGGAAAATAAACCAACAAGTAATCTTTACCTCTGTATAAGGCACTTTTCAAATCAAATCACTTCACAAATCCCATGTCTTTATTTGAAGTGAGAACCATTTCATTATATATTATGTAACAAAATTAATCAAACATGAAATGTAGTTAGTTTTAAATAGTGATTTTGGCCTGTCAACCTCAGAGGTCTTGACCTTCTCTGTTCTATCCAGCTATTTAAGTCATATGTACCAATGTTATAAAATCATCTCAACATAATTTTGAAAATCTATTGAATTACTATTCAGTTCATTGCTGTAAAATGTTTGTAATTATTTGTAATAATTTTATTATTACATGTTATTACTAATTTTGTTTTTAGTAGTTTTATTACTAATTTTATTACTACTAAAAAAAATGGTTGCAATCACCCCCACCCCATTTTATTTTGTAATAATTTTTTATTATTATTTACAGAAATTATTTTTGTAAGGTCTCAAACTAGATTAGTATTATTTAATTTTGATGTTGATGTAAATGTTTATAGAAATGAAAATCACACTTTTAGACGTGTCCCAAGTTTTAGTAACAGGGTTGAGAATTAATGAATGAATGAATGAAAAAAAAGCCCTGGATGTTGTACATATTGTGTGTTTTCATGAAAAGTAGCATAAACTGTTTGAAGGATCGTTTAAATAAGGTAGCTATAATATGAAACAATGAAATAAATTTTAAACCCTCCTCCCTTCTCTCTTTAGATCAGCTTGGATGCCAGGAAAATCAAGCTCCTACGTCTACCAGAGGGAAAACCCTCCCCCTCTGGAAATAGACAGACTGTCTTTGAGGTGTGTGTCTGTCCCAATGGAAAACTCTTCCTATCACAAGCAGGAACTGGCTCCACTTGTCAGATCAGCAGCAACTTATGCCTCTAGATACTCACAAAAACCCTTCCACACACACACACACACACAGACAGACACAATCACAGATACAGAGGACTTGTTCCTCTTGAAGAATTCAATGTTGACAAGAAATGAAAAGGACTTCCTCAAGATTAATGAAAATACTTCGTAAAACAATGTTTGAACGAGAAACTTTTATAGTGATCACCAGAAAACCATTCGACAGTCGCCATTCCGACCTTGCTTTTACTCATCAGAATAAATTTTTTATTTAATTTTTTTGCTGAGGAAAGTACCATGGGTGCTTTATCTTGTGTACACCACATAAATATGACAGTTTTCTTCTTTTAAAAAAATAAATGTTTTATTATTAAAGGTCTTCATCTACAGTCCTCAATCTGGGATGCCTCTCATGACGGTGATCACCTATACCCAAACTGTGCTTACACTGGGATAAAATCCATACACCCACTCTGTTCAAAAAGGAGAACAGTGCCTGTGCCTTAATTCAATGCACTCGTGGCAAGCAGCACACCCCACTGACTTTTATTTATACAAGGAGACTTGCATTTAAGTTACTTGCCTTTTGCTCCCACAATATTTACAACATTGTTATGCAGCTTAATTGCATAAAAAAAGTTGAGAAACCAGTGATCTCAAACTCACGTAATGTGCTGATTTCTGCTTTAATTTGGAAAAGAGAAGAGAATATTTCGGATTTTGTTTCAAGAGAAGAGGATATTTCAGATTTTGTTTCAAAGTTTGTTATTGGCTTGGCATACAATGAGGAAAAGTTGAAATTGGAAGAAACAATTTCTTGATGTGTGGATGTTTTTAATGTTTTTGTGTGAGTTAAATCTGAATTTTGTTCTTATTGTATAATTCAACACTAAAATGTGGTAAACAAACCAGAGACATCCAAACCAAAAAGCAAAGCTGTCATTATGTTGTATAACAAGAAACTGCTGAAAATGAAGGAATTGAATGTTCACACTTCCCAATTCCCAAGATTGTTTTTATGCGTATATACACTACTGTTCAAAGTGTGGGGTCTGTAAGATTGTTTAATGTTTTAAAGTCTCAGCAAGCTGCATTTTTTTTTTTTAAATACGGTAACGCTTTCTATGAAGCCCATATTTATAATACATTATAAGGGTATTCTTTAGGCATTATAATGAATGCATAATGCATTATAAAAACCCTTATAATATGTTATATCATCTTATGAATATTTATAAGACGTTTTAATGTTTTATAACATTTACTTATTTGTGGTTATAGCTTTTAAGAGTATGATGATTTATAACACACAGTGAACATGTTGCATCCACTTAAGTTACAATGGATTATATTTCTCATAGTTATAATGTATCGTAAGTCTCATATCTTGCCATCTTTCTTATGCTACTTTACTTAAAGCCATCAAAGACCACTTATAAATATAGTAATAATAATATTTTTTTTCTCAAACAGCCATAAGATCAGATATTAGATCAGATGGATGTGTAATAAGACATATTTGCTTTGAACTATTTTTAATGTAATATCAGTTTGATTATTTTGACGGTTCCCCAACAAACAAACTGACTATGAGTAACTTTGCAAGTACATCAACATTCTACCAACCCTAACCTTAACCTAAGCCTACTAATACTCTAATGAGAGTTAGTTGATTTTTTTCAGTTGAAATTATTAACTAGCTCACATCAAAATTAATATTAGCCTCACAGGGAATACTCAAATAACACTCCACACCTAACCACTTACAAGATGTAGTAAGATACTGTGCAGATCTTAAATAAACAATGTCAAGATATATAGTCCATTATAAATATAAAAATAGATTTTATATGGTGTTCATTGTTTGTTATAAATAGTCAATCTTAAAACATAATCACAAATGTGTAAGCATTATAATGTATTATAATTGTTATGATTATTTATAAGATGATATAACATATAAGGTCTTTTATAATGCATTATGCATTCATTATAATGCCTTAAGAATACCCTTATAATGTGTTATAAATATGGGCTTCATAGAAAGTGTTACCCAAAATACAATAAAGGAAGATAAGGAAATATTATTACCATTTAAAATAATGGTTTTCTATATTAATATCCATTAAAATGTAATTATTCCAGTGATGGCAATGTTGAATTTTCAGCAGGTATTATTACAGTCTTCACTGTCACATTACCCTTTATAAATCAATTAACATTTCATATTATTATCAATGTAGATAGGGTTCTGCTGTTTAAAACATTTATGATCATGATACTTTTTTATCAGGAATCTGTGATGAATAAAAATTTCAAAAGAACAGCATTTATTTAAAATATTAATATTTAGTAATAATAAAAATGTTTATTAATATTTACTGTTACTTTTGATCAATAAGTAATCCTTGCCTAATTATTTTTAACTTTTTTTAATCATTATTGTATTAAGTAATTTATTGCTGAATTATTATTATTGCTGAAGTAAACCTCCCCAAACTTTGAACAACAGTGTACATATACACTGTATGCCAGAATGCAAAAAAAGTTATTGACATTAAAGTTGTTTTTAATGTAGATCTCAACTGACCCTGTGCAACATTAAATATTCTCTACTGTGTAATTACATTTTACACTCCAATTGGTAATATTTCTCTGAAATATAAAAAACCCTGATTCTCACTGTATTCATTGCCACTTGCCCACTAAATCTGAATTAATTTGGAGTGATAGCATTGTGTTATAAAAGCTGAAGCCCCTAGCAATTGTTGACATCCTATTAACATACTAAATGCTATGGGTAAAGAGACAGAGTGTGCGGGTGTGTGTGTGTGTTTGCTATTGTAATGAACTCTTGCATGATACTAAAAGACAGAAGCCAATGACAGACAAGACAGCCCAGTGATTTTATTTTTTTTTTCTTTTCTTTTCTTTTATTTTTTTGAGGTAATAGAAAAAAACATTATATGTACTGTTATCCTGTATGTTTAAGGTTTCCCCTGTGTTAAATGACTCAACTAAAAGCAGGACTTTAGGACAGATACTTATGTTGTTTGATGTGCTCATATCATGTTTGATAAATTTTTGTGCTAAATAAAGGTTTTATCTACAGCCATTTAAGTGTTCAGAAAAAAATTATATATAATTATATATATATATATAATTATTATTATATTAATGGCATTTAGTTTCCTCTCTTCTCCCAAATGTTGCTTAATGCAGACGTTACATCTGAACAATGTGTATGTATGATTTTGTACGAGGGGCACAACATTTTTCATATATTTATTGATAATAAAACTACACCTCAGCTCTAGCATAACCTAGCTTTCAGTATGTGATGGCTATACTGGATGCATACATATTTACATATGTATACATGTGTGTAAATAAAATGTGATAATTGGATTACATAAACAGCTAACATTACAAAACGAAATGCCTTGGGTTGAAGCTGGGGCTCTTTTATTATTAGTATTATTATTATTATCCAAATTGTGTGCAGCATTTTATCCTGTTTTTGGTCTTTCAGGCTTTTGGTGACTACTTTTCAGAAATTCAGTGATGTTAAACTTTTGTTTGACATTTTGTGATGACTGGAAACTTTTTCTTTTTTTTTGGGAGGTAACTGTGATAAAAAATCCTCGCATATTCTATGCAAAACATACTTGGTTGTAGAGAGAAATCTATTGATGCAAATAAATATGTCATCTATCTATTTTAAATGTATTATATCTTAATGTATACAGTTTGTATTTATGAAGTGAGTTGCAACCTAAACTGATCCAATAAACTTGACAAAAGAAAAAGTGGATAAGGGCCAATTTCACATAGTTAAACGTCTCAGGTTACGCATGTAACCATGGTTCCCTGAGAAGGGAATGAGACACTGCGTCCTCTAGGGGTCGCTATGGGGAACGTCTTCAGTGTGACCGGTGTCTAAACCATACATCTAAAAACGACAATAACATTGGCTAGCGACAGCCTATGATGTCATTAGCTGGCGCGATCACAGTATAAAAGGGTGCCGGGATAACACGTCATCCGCTTCTTCATCTGAAGCTTGCGTCCGAAGCATGGCAAGGGAACTAGAGGACACAGTGTCTCGTTCCCTTCTCAGGGAACCATGGTTACATACGTAACCTGAGACATTCCCTTCCGAGGGAACTTCGAACTGCATCCTCTAGGGTTGGCTATGGGGAACGGTATACCCACGCCGCCATGCTGAGGGGAGTGCATGCCAGAAACCACGGCGAGCACTAAGTACCAACTCTACCATAGCCATGGGAGTTGCCCCTAGGACGCCTTGACGGCTGTCAGATTCCCTCCAGCCAAGGCCCTGCGCTGCATACCCTAAACAACTTACCTGATAAGGGCTGGGAAGCCCGAGCCTAGGGCAGAGTTCAAAGGCTTGGAATCAGAAAAAAGCAAGGTGTTGAGCAGGGTGTTGCTACCAAAGATCTGTCGAGTTAGCATTCGGAAACGCCTCCAATTAACCATATATGGTGACATCTTATAACACCTCCCTTTTATAAATAATGTGAATGTATGTGTCCTCACTGAAATCATGGCAAAGAAAGCAGTACCGACAGAGAAGCCGTTCTGTGCTCTCAATCTCAGCGTGGTCTTTGAAAACGCGTTTTCTGCGGAGCGCATTGTTTGCCAAGTCTTCCAATAATGCAAGATAAGCCATTGCATTTGTCTTTTATAGGGTTTGACACCAATTACGCAGATTGTCTGTTTAAAACCAGACAAATGATAAATTGAGTGTTTTATAATTAAAGGAAACACAGGACATATGTGGATTGCTTAATGCATACCGTGACACTCTTAAATGCTTTTTATGTGTTGTGTTGCTATTCTACCACTAGATTCTCTGCGTATGCATGCTCAGAGGTGTGCTCATATTTACACACATTTCTACGTATAAGTACAAGTTGGTAGATCCCACACTTTGCGTGAAACTGTTCTTACGCACTCATTACGCACACATTTGTGCGTACGCACTGTTGATAAATGAGGCCCCTGGCCATATCCCCTCAAAGGAATCTGCTCAGAAATATATCAACAGGGATACATAATTTGAGTGGAGCCCAAGGTGAAAACCGGGGCCTAACCAACTCAGAGAAAGGAAACGAGGCTGACAGCGCATAACCCTTACCATACAGGATTTTAAAAACTGTGCAGAATGCCTAGCATGTACACTTACCACAATGTGGATTTTAGAAAGTGCACAGAAGCTCAGAGTGTGCACTTACAATAGCATGGATTTAAAAACACCGTTACTAAAGGGTAACCAAAATTGTCACTTTGACAGGCCTAAGACCCTACGTTACTGTGGCACGCTCAAGGAGTGACAATTAATTCAGCGGGAGGCTGAATTCAATCAGAGCGCATGTAGATTGAAAAGATGCATCTCATAGAAAAACCCTCCATGTGAGGGGAGTATCGCCAACTCAACCATAGCAGTCACAGAAC